GGTGGTGTGCAAGGGGTGGAGTCCCCTCACATGGTCACAGAGGAGCTGCTGGGCCCCTCCATATTTGCATTGAAGAAAATCCAGTGTGTTTCACCTTTTCCTTCATATTTTAAGTACTGTGTCAGTTTCCTTCAGTCATATGTATCATGCTTGCCAACCTAAAATCTGATGTAAAAATTAAAAGCTATTGGGACTATATCCACAAAATTCATATATAGGATAATTTGGCAACATATAACAAAAGCTTTAAAAATTATCCTTTATCTGGAAATGATTTTCCTTTTAGCATTTTTGTTGTGGACACTTGTAGATGTACAAGAAGATATAAGAATATTCGTTCAAGGATTACTGTATTTGAGAAAAAGTGGAAGGAATGCAAATACCAACTGCAGAGAACAGTCAGATCAGTAAGGCTGGTTCACAGCAGGAAACCAGCCACCTCTCTTAAAAACGATGTGTAGAAAACTATGTAGTAGCAATTCACTTGGAAAACAAAGCAGACATAAGCAAGAAGTGGACTGATAAAAGCAATGGAGAAATGATAAGTCCCCAGCACACCATCATGACAGTAAGTACAGCTTTCGGGAACATAGTAGTTTCTTCGTTACCTCAGCTATTAAATTCTTCAAAGGCAATGGCGAATGACAGGTGGAAACCTGGGCACTTCTGGAAAATGTACCATTATGTACAGTTATTTTCCAAAATAAATTGTTCCATCTTGGATTAGAGTAGGACTTTTATGAAAGAAAAGCATACACACACTTCAGATGTCAGCCCCAATAATAAAGAGACTCAAAAGTCAATTCCGAGCAGGCATGGGCCAGGGAAGGCTGGGGTTCCTTTGTCCACAGTGGGTGTAAGTTGCGCCAGGGAAGTTTGTCCTTGGCAGGTTTTGGGAGACTGCAGCACACTGTCACTGTCTCAGCCTGCAGGTATCTGGAGGGTCGTGATGTAGGTGTCCAATCTGAAATTGGTCCTGTGGAACTCCAGGGGAGTGTGGGGAGAGGTGGGAAGCAAAGCTGGGGCAGACTTAAGGGGTGGGACTGGCTAACAATAAGGTTGAGGAAAACAGCCAAGGAGAAAGATGGTGAGATATCATGTGTGATCATTTTTGGTATGTTAGAACCAAATTTGCAACAGTCGGAAATTAGATACACAGACCGCCACTGACTCTTTTGTGAAATATTTGCCACCCACTTCATTTGGTGCAAGCACAGTTTAGTGGTGCTTCATGATGTGTGTGTGTGAAAGAGAGAGAGAGAGAGATTTGGGGAGAGGGCATCACCCCAAGGTTAATAAAATGCAGAGAACCTGCTGTCATGGATCTTACCTCGAGCACGCGAAGGTCTGGAATTGTGCATGACAGCTCTTCGTGCACAGAGGAAAACATATCCAGCTCAGCAGGGGTGTTTGAGGCTCCCAAGATATAATTTCATGTAAAGCACCAGATTTTACATTGGCATAGCGATTAGTATGCAATCAGTAAACGGTGCTTATTGTTATTATTATTAACTGTATTAGTACAGGCAAAGACTACAGTCCAAAACACTGTCTCTCTGAGTACAGTCAGCCTCTATCAGCAGCCCTGCACACGGGATCCACTTCCCTTCTCTCTTCATCTTCTAAGGCAGCTGCAACACAGTGAGAGTCATACAGTGAGTGTCTTGTTCGTCAGGCATTTGCCCCTCATGTTCTATAGGCTCCAAGTGCAGGCTGGACCACCCTCCCTCTGAAGGCTCAGTGAAGATCTTCCCTTTCCTCCTCCCAGCTCCTGGTGGCTTCTGGCAGCCTTCGGCATTTCTAGGCTGGGAGCACCATCACTGGGGTTTCTGCTTCCCTCTCCCAGTCTCGGGGTCTCTCCTTATATGGACTTGTAGGCCTATCCTTATCCAATATGACCTCATTTTTTATTCGACTGCAACCACAAAGACCCTATTTACAAATAAGCTCACACTCAGACGTGCCTGGTGTAAGGAATTGGGCGTATATTTTGGGGAGATTGCAATTCAGCACACTGTATCCACTCTCTGAGGACAGAACCCTGCCATTTCATCTGATCCCTAGACTTACAGGGGCCAACTCTGGTCTAAAATGGAAATATGGGCATGTGACATAGGACTGGCAATTCCCTTGGCCATAGAGATTGTCTCAGATGTCTCTGTCAGGCAGCGAGAATCTGAGATGAGATTTTTGTTCGAGCTCTGAATAAGAGACCTCTTTCTGCTGGGCTAAATTGAAGAATGTAATCCCAGCCCTACCCATAGTTACCACATGGACAGAGTCTGCTAGTGGGTGAGAAAGGCCTGCAGGGCAGCCACTGCATCCGACATAATCTGGGCACCTGGATCCCACTGTACCTGAATCTAGATGGTTCTGACTTTTCCAATTACATAAGCCAGTGAGTTCATTTCATTTCTTTGTTTGAGACATTTGGAGGAAATTTTCTTTAACTTTCCAACAAGACTCTTGAATGTTAACCATGGTCTTCATTCTTTCTTTTGTGTTTTCTGCCTTCATAAAAATGTGTTTCCTGTCTATGGAGCCATATACTAGAAAGGATCTGCCTGAGCAGCTCATAGGAGGGTGTGGGCCATCTTGTTTGGTTGAGAGCGTCAACAGGGACGAATCAGATTGCGCAGTTCAATTCCTATCCCACCAATTATTATCTGTGTGGCCTCAGGTGGGTTCCTCAGCCTCTCTGCCTATGTCTTCCTCTAGAAAAGGGGAACAGTAATAACATTGTTTTTTCTTATGAGATTACAATAAGAATTGAGTTCCTAATTATAAAGTGCTTAGAATAACACTAAGATTTGTAACAGCTATCTGTTACTACTGAGCAGAAAATATTCTTATTTCCCATATGAAATTAGTACTATTGTCTCCATTTTACACTTCAGAAACTAATGCTAATTGCAGTGATGTGACTTTAGCCAATTCACACCATGAGAAAGGGGCAGACTCGGATCAAAAACAGAAGTAGACTACGGAAGTCTCCTTGACAGCTCTGAGCGCTTTGGGGATATGAAACAGTTCTCAGTGTCAGAGGGCCTACGAGGGAAATGGCTGCTTCAGAGGGAATCCCTGACTATCAGATTTGCCGCTTTTTGGGGTCCAGTAGTAATTGTTACGTTTTAGATCTAGAATGTCCCCCAAAAGTGTCATATTCAGAGTTGGGACTTTTGGGCAGTGATTGGACCATGGAGGTGCTGTATTTATCAGTGGATTAATCCATTGATAATTCCTGTCCTGTTAGGAGGTGGGGCCTGGTTGGAGGGATGGATCATTGGAGAGCGGAGGTGGAGGGTATATTCCTGTTCCTTTCTTCTCTTCCTTTTCTGCTTCCTGGCTGCCTCGAGATGAGCAGCTTTTCTCCACCCGGCCCTTCTGCCGTGCTGTTTCTTCCTTGGAGCCAACCATGAACTAAGACTGTGAACCAAAATAAACCTCTCCTCCTTTAAGCTGTGGGTGTTGGGTATTTTGCCTCAGAGGCAGGAAAGTGGTTAATACCCTAATACCTGATATGTAATAAGCACTCAATAAATGCATTCTGCACGAATCAGTGAGTAAATAAATAAAAAGTTTTACACATCTCTGTTACATAGATAGCCTAGCCTGGAATTTGGGGGCATAGTTTTCTAGTTCTGCTCCTGAGATTCATCCTGCCAGGTTTTCATCCATTGATTTACAAGAATGTCTTGAGGTCCCACATGCACCCAGCCTCGTGTGAGATTCTCAGTGTACTTTGGTATGTAAAGCCAGCACGTGGGTGGCACTTGTGGAATTTACAGCCCCACCGTGGACACAAGCAGTGCACAAGTACATGGTAAACACAGGCATGGCTGCAAGGAACAATTAGAGTGGAGACCGAAGTAACAGGTTTCCAGGGTAGAAGGCAGTGGATCAGGGACAGGGCCTGGCGACTTAGATAACGTGCTATGCATGGCCTCTGCAGAGAGGCCACATCTCGGGATGAGGGCAACCTCAGGCTGCAAAGGAGTCAGACGGAGAGCTCTAGACTATAGAGGGGAAGGTTGACTGTGTCCCAGGGGAGAAGTGGCAGAAGTGCCCCAGGGAGTGGCGGAGACTGGGAGAAGAGAGGCATGGGTGTGGCTGAAAAGACCCCAAGGTGGGAAAAATTTCTGCATTTTCTTTGATTTTGTTTTTGGGGCTGTATTCCTGGCCCCTGCCATGGTGCTTAGTTCATATGAGCACTCAGTTTATGATTGTGCAGTGAAGGAAACGTATGTTGCATGTCTGTAAGTCCTGTGATGGCAACGCCATGCCTTAGATGTCTTATTTATCTTTCTCCCTGCCATGTCTCACCCGCACCTCATGTATACCTATCACTCAAGTGTTTGTTGAATGAAACACGAAAGGAAAATGTAGGGTACAAAGCAGGTAAGAAAAGGCAGAGAGGGGAACTTTAACGGTGGCAAGAAAATGAGCTTTTGGAAGCAAAGAGAGCCCAGGAGAAGAAAGTGGAAGGGTACAGTTGGATAGAAGGAGGAAAAGAACTCAGATTCCTGGAGGGACTGGCAAAGTAAGTGGGAGTCAGAGTCTTGGACGGTGGAGGACATGGCACAGTGTGTTCTGTGGTGACACTGTGACAGGCAATGATTGCCAGGCCAGCTGCAGGACGCCAGGCAGGCAGGGATAAGGCCAAGGGCTGGAGGGCCCTGTGAGTTCCAAGAGATAAAAGTCAGAATTGATGATGAAATACTTTGCTTTTTAAACTGTAGAAAAGCGTTTCAGATCAAAGGAAAAATAAACATAACTAGATGAGGTCCTAGAATAAGAGAAGACTGCCTTTTAGGGGACCTTCAGTATCCGCATGGGGACTTTTGGAACTTATTCAGTATGCTACATGCAAAATAATATTTCAATGAGAATGGCTCCAGCTTTGGGGGAAATAGAACTGGAAGAGAGATTGGGCTTTTTCATGCTTTGTAGTATATAAACATTGTTTACTTGATGTTGATGTTGGAATCTTTTTTCTTTAGGGATCGAACTCGGGACCTTGCACTTGCAAAGCATGTGACAGAACCACTGGGCTACGTCCCCAGCCCCGATGTTGGAATCTTAAAGTAAGCATTCTGGGAGGCTGAAGCAGGAAGATTGCGAGTTTGAGCCCGGCCTGTGCAACTTAGCAATTTAGTGGGACGCCGTCTCAAAGTAAAAAATTTAAAAAGGGGCTGAGCATATAGGTCAGTGTGAAAGCGCTGGGTTGAACCCCCAGTACCACACAACAAAACAAAAATGAATACTTTGTTTCCCTCACTTCTCAGGCTCAGCCTTGCGCCCGAAGGTGACAAGTCACAGCTGGTCCCTCAAGAAGCAGGGAAGGAAGACAGGTGACAAAAGCAACAGGGAACCTGATGGTGCAAGGGGCTGAGCACCCACCAGTGTGGCTTCAGGGGCAGGCAGATTTGGGCCAGTAAGAAAAGTCACAAGGCCTCAGGAGAGGGGTCAGAGTGGGCCAAGGGGAAGTAGGCAGGCAAATAATGAAGTCCAAGTGATGCGAGCCTCTTCATTTTGTGGTCTCTCGGGACATTTAATTAGGTCCAGGTCTCTCAAGCAACCTGCTGACCACTGGCACAAAAGCAGAGGTCCTCGAAGCACAAAGATAGACCTGTGCTCCAACCAGCACAATGAGGAGACTCAGGAAGTTAGGCAAGGTTAGATTCCGAAAGTCCTCACCCAGATATTTAAGGTATCCTAAAAGCCAGCCTGCTTTTTAAGTTGAGGACCTCATTTGCTGCATAAACTTGGAAAACTTTCTTAGCCTCTCAAAACCTCAGTTTCCATATCTGTAAAATGGGGACAGTAATCAAATCAGACCTATTGATGTATTGTGAGATTAGCAGAGTATTTGTGCTGAGCACTCAGCGCCATGCCAGTCACACTGTGAGTACTTAACAAATGATAGTGATTATCACTTTGATATAGAAGTTCTCAAATAAGATAATATAGAAGGGACATTGTTGATCCAAAGAGGGAAAGGACTTTCTATGTTTTCCTTTTATTTATTTCCATGATAGTTTGCACTATAATTTGAAATGTTGTTCCCCAAAACTGACTTGCTCTTCTGTAAAGTTTGTGCCTTACCTCACCAGATGGCAAGGGGCAGGAAGGGAGGTAGCCTAGCTGCACATCAATCTTGTCTTCCCAGTGCTTTCTAGCAGCTAAGCAATTATCAGAGACCAGATAATCATAGTGTTGTTCTTGAATTTAGAAGAGGGGATTCAAATACATGCAGATGTGGTATCTCATTTGCAACAATCCGATGGGCCAGTTATTACAATGTCCTCCTTTAATGGAGGAAGCTCAATGGTTTGCTCAAGTTCATGAGGTAGATAAGTGGTGAGACCAAGGCTGAAATATTCTCTGGTCAGTGCTATGCTGTAGCCAGAGTCCTCATCCATTGCGAAGGGGTCGTCCATTGAAGAAAATAAACTGACAAATTAATAAAGGTTCATGCTGGGAAGAGACAATTTCTTTGGAGAGAAGGTTGAGTAGGACTTTGCAGGAAAACAAGGGACAAAAGTAAAAATGTGGTCCTGTGTGAAAAAAGAGATCGTAACCACAGGAGGAGTAAGTTTGGCAGATAAATAAATGAATGAGTGAACAAACAAATGCGTGAGTGTGTGTGTGTGTGTGTGTGTGTGTGTGTGTGTGTGTGGAGAGAGACGGACAGGGAAAGAGAGACACCGGTGTTCTCCAGCCTGTGTACCATGAACGTAAGGAACCTGGACATTTTTCTCCTGCTGAGAGGAGACACTAAAGGGCAAAGCATGGGACATGATCAGTTTACTTTGTCTACAATCAACATTCTGATTAAAATAAGAAGAGATTGCTGGAGGGTTTGAAGACAACTGCGAATATGTGAGCAGAAACCAGCTTGGAGACTCCTGAAATAACAGGGGTGGGAAATCATGGATGTGGATGAGGCATTATAAAGTTTCAGGTAGCTCTGATTTTGGAGCCTATAAGTATTCACAGCAAGATGTAGTTCCAGGCATACCTTGGAATGGTCTGCAAGAATGAATGAGAGCAAAACTTAGCTGAGTCAGACAGGGGCCCCTCTCCGGATGGACTTTTGAGCCTTTGGCATCTGATGCCTATTGGGCTGCACAGGCCTGCTCTGGAGTTACTCTGATTCTTATACTGAAAAGGCCATGTAAACACAAATGCAGGCAGACGCTAAACTCTTGGAAGTCTTTCATTTGGGAATTTAAGCATAAGGAACCGCTAGGTTTTGCAGTGGCTGCCATACCAAAACATAAATCATGCCAAACTTGTTTGAAATCCCATCTTTAGAAGGTTTTGTGTTTCGACAAACCTTGCATCCAATTTGGTCCAGCTTTTGGATTTGTAATGAAACCTGAAACCCAGCATGCTGGCCTACCTTGGTGTCTACAGGCACAAGTTCCCAGCAGCCTTAGTGTAATACCGCCCCTAATCTCATCCTGACATGACTGTGCTGAGCTGAGCTGCTGGAAGTTTGAGGTGGACTCGGCAAACATTTCTTGCAATTATGGAAAAGAGACTGATCAAGACAGCAGTTTGGGGGTATTTTTGTGCCTGAGTACTCTTCAGCGTGTAAATTGCAAAATTAGCAATACCACTGTATCCCTTGTTGGCTAGTGTCTTGGAGATACCCCAAGCCATGATTGGGGCAGAAAGTTAATTAATCTGCTTATTAAAAAGAAGAAATGTCTCATTTGCATGCATTTGCATTCAGGTCTTGCATTCATCATGCTTTTTGGTGGTCCTTGGCTTTCTCTCCTTAATACCACTGACCTAGCTAGTTGTCAGCTCAGTGCATTTGAATTTTCTGTGACTTGGCTTTGTTTAAGTGTCATATATCTGGTTGACATTGATTCCAGCAGAATTTGATTTTCTTATAGATCCCTTAATTCCACATAGAGATTTTTTTCCCCTTCTATGGGCTGTTTGGGTTTTTCTTCCAGTTATCATACACCACAGTTAGGCAAAGATTTATAGATTTGGCTAATCTTGGAAAATAAAGACCTTGTCCAGAGTTGGGCATGTTATTTGAAGGTGATCTATTTAATTATCTACAATTTCCTACTCAATTGAATTTTTTCCATGGTCATTTTTGTGGGAGTTTTCCTTTGGTTGTTTTTCCTATCTTATTGGGAGGTCTGCTTTTGGATTTTTTTTTTTGGTGGGGGGTAGGAAAAAAAGACCATTGCCTTATGGAGATATTTCAGATATTCCACATTCAGCATGATTGTTCTTACCTGAAGGTGCTCTGGTAATTTGAGTCCAGGCCTCTTAAACCGCCTGCCTTGAGGGGCTCCAGTGAAGATTTGGAAGGAGGAGGGGGTTGGGCAGAGGGTAATTTGGAAGGCTGGGGGGTGGGAGAAAAAAGACCGAACAAGCTCCTAGAAGGACAGCAAGTAAAGGTTCCACTCTGTGGAGGTGGGGGCCCAGAGAGATCTTCGCCTGGGGGAGCCCCACCAGCTCATATCCAGGGGACCCCAGTGCCCTGTCTCCGTGTCGGGGTCACAATCACATTTTTGATCTACTACCACAGTGGGGCTGTCAGGGGTGAGTGGCTTAGCCAGCGGTTAAACCACCTCCACGCTAACAAGCTTAAACAGTCAGGTTGGGAAGGGTCCTGGCTGGAGGAAAAAAAAATTAAAACCCAACCTTAGACCCTTAGACCTCTTGTCAGACTCTGAGCAAAATTATATTTTTGAACTAGTCCACAGTGTGGACAGGAAATGACCTCTCCACAAACTGCTTCTTTAAAAACAAGCGTGGTGCCTCCTGCAATCCAGCCTCTCTCCTCTCTCTCTCCCTCTCTCTCTCTCTCCTCTCTCTCCCTCGCTCCCTCTTTTCCTCCCTACCAACCTCCCTTCCCTCCCTCTCTGAGCTCCTGCGCTCTCCCTCTTCCTCCTCTCCCGTGCTCCCTCCCTCCTTCCCTCCCTCCCTCCCTGCCTCCCTCCCTCCTCCCGCTCCGGCTCCTCTCTCGCTTTAGAGGGTTCCCACAGCACTTCCCAGCCAGTGTGCTCAGCCTGCCTGCCTGCCTGCCTGCCTCTGCGTGTGTGCGAGTGTGTATGTGTGTGAGCGTGTGTGCGTGCGTCTACTTTGTACTGTGAAGAACACAGCCCATGTGCTCTGCATGGACGTTACTGCTAGTCTGTTTAGCTTGATTTTCGACAAGCAGGCAAGATGTCCAGCACACCACATGACCCCTTCTATTCTTCTCCTTTCGGCCCATTTTATAGGAGACACACACCCTACATGGTACAGCCAGAGTACCGGATCTATGAGATGAACAAGAGACTGCAGTCTCGCACAGAGGTAAGTACTTCAACCTTGGCTGGGTGTTGGTGTATTTTTTTTAACTGTGCATGGGCTTTTCCTGGGGTTTCTGGCTGAATTCTGTGGCAAGTGTCCCACTAGCTACTACCACGTACAAGGGAATGAGCACCAGCATGAAGCCACTAGTTTGAACGCCCCAGTTTGCGGGGACAGCAACTCTTGGAGCAGGGAACAGTTTCTGCCGGAATCTTGAAACAGAGAGCCCAGCGCTTGATTCCCATGCCAGGGCTTCAGAAATGCTGCTCTCCCAGAAACTCTGCTGTTTGCAGGCTCTGAGATGGTCCTGTTTCTTGAGATACAATTGCAAAGGATTCTGCGGTTGTTTGTGTTTGGATGGATATAAATGAGTCTGCTCTGACCTGCATTTGCTTTTCAAAGTCATCAAAATTGAGGTAAAAGGTCCAAAAGAGTAACCCTAAATACTTTTCAGAACTAGCCTTGGAGGAACACATGTTTGGATATTTCCTTGTTAAATTCTGAAAGTAGTTGCTTGGGGCAAGAGGATTCTATACTTTCTCCTCTCCCTCAAGAGGCTAAGGGCTCTACCTTGGGGACTAGAGCCGGCTCAGCATTCCAGCCCCTTGAGTTTTTTGGACTTTTGTGATCTTGTGCCTCAGGAAGGGAGGGAGGGAAAGAAAGAGGAGGGGAAGAGAGAGAGAGAGAGAGAGAGAGAGAGAGAGAGAGAGAGGGTTCATTAGTTCTCAGACTACAACTCTGGGAGTAGAGAGACCAAGACTTTCAGAACTTTCTAAATGCAAAACTCCAGACTGCCTCCTGCAATTTAAATATTTAATGTCAGTTGAGTTTTCCTCTGTGTGCTGGCTGGCTGGCAGGGCTGCTGCGGGTTGTCCATTTGCCTGTGAGTTGGGGCTTTGTGTTATCTTCTGAACAGGAGTTTCTTGTAGGTGCCCCAAAGTCACTTTAGGGAGCTGGAATCCCTGGGGATTGAGCCTTCTCCGCCGAACACAGATACCCAGGGAATTTCTGCCAGAGAGCTTTTTGG